TCCTAGCCCTGACTGGGGGGGGCCTGTGGGGCACTCCTAGAGGTGGCTCCCCTAGCAGTTGGCCCCCCATTCTCCAGCACTGATTGCTCAGTCTGCTCTGCTGCTTTTCCCATGCCCTACTCCGGTGACAAGCCCCCTTCTGAGATGGCAAGTGGTGTACAGACCCCAGAGACCCCCACAGTGGGTAACTTTCAGCAGGGCTGTGTGGGCGACAGACAGTCCAGACAATCCCAAGGTGGACCAGGGCCAGGCCCACATGGCAGGTGCCTGCAACTGCGGCTGCCTCCTATTCTCTCCAAAACCAAAGTTGTTTTGAGAATGCGATGAGAATATGTAAATAAGGGTTCTGACAATCAGTATTCATCAGCCTCTGGTAGAACAAGACTGAGAATGAAAGGGAAACAGTGAGCGGGGGCTCTAGGGGCGCCCCTTCTCCAGGAACCTGGAGTCCCTAAATGATTCCAATACTGTGCACATTAGGCGGGACGTCGGTCAGGCTGGTTGTATGCATGTGGGTGTGTGTTGAATACCTGGAGAAGATTCCATGCATTAGACAATCTCTGGGTGTCCATCCACCATCATGGCCCTCCAAACCCCAGCTCAGCTTTGGGCTGGTGTAGACCCAGTAAATACACTTAATCAAACAGGGAAGGGAGGGAGGGCAGAGAGAAGCCCAGAGAATCTGGTGAGATGCAAAGGAGGGCGACAAGGACACAGGGCATTTGAGGGGGAAGAGGAAGCCAAGGTGTCTGCCATCGGCTGCCTGGATCTGTTCACCTGCTCAGCTGCCTTCCCCCAGCAGCCTGTGAGTGGACTGAAACCCTGATGTGGACTGAAAACGCCAAATTGGGCCTCCCCGGTGGCGCAGCGGTTGAGCGCTGGGTTGCAAAGCTGCCCGCAGCCTCTGCAGCACCGGTTCGATCCCCGGCTGCTCCCCGGCCACCAGAGGAGGGTCCCACATGGTGCGCAGACCTCTCCTGCCGCCCGCTGCTCCCCTCTGCAGTGTGCTTCGGTCCTTCTGCCTGCTCTGCTCCCCGCTCTGGCTCTGGTGAATTCTCTCACCCTCCCGCGCTTCTGACTGTACCCAGTGCTTGTATAAATAAATAAAATAAATAAATAAATCTTTAAAAAAAAAAAAAGAAGAAGAAAACACCAAGTTATGCCAGATCTCCGTTTTTCCTCTGGAACCATCAAGGAGTCTAAACGTCAGCTAAAACGCGGACACCATATGTGGAAAATATTCATCCCGATATTGCTGTTTTCCTTATAAAAGCGCGTTGTTTTATGTGTGGGCAGAACTCACTGTAAACTGTTAAATATGATGTAAATGCTAATTTCTCTGCATTGCCCTGTAAAGGAACTCCCTGTGAAGTGCATCTCATGGAAACCCATAAAAGAAAATGGTCAAAATAAATTAGGGGGAGAGGCGGGTGGGAGCAGACGGTGTCTGTCTTGCCAACATGCATCCGCGTGTCCCCTCTTCAAACTCTGGCCCCAACCAGAGAGGATTTGCATAACGGCGGTGACAGATGCCACGCTTCCCAGTGGCCAGTCGGCCTTGACAACTTTCGAGAAACGGTCTGCCAGGATTTGCTTGAAACAAAAACAAATTTTTTTTTTTTCTAAATTGCCAAGCGTTTCTCTCCCTTTTGTGATTTGTTAATCCACTCTGTTTTTTAGTGGTTCAGATTTTAGTCCAGAAAAGCAAAGGCACAAATGAAATGAGACGGTGGAGGTATGCCTTAAGAACAACCCTAGACTTTGGGTCCTCCACCCAGGCTTACAGGAGCAACAGCTCTCTCTAAAAACCTCAAAAGCCTTTTGGCCACATTCAAAAGCGAGAACATGGCACCCTACCAGACACGGGCCTCCTTCTCCGTTACGTGCCTGGCCTGACCTGGCACTTTGTTAACCAAACCCAGCTCTGGATTTTTAACCACAACTTAGATTCCATCACACACAAAAGAATTAGAATCCTGGGGTCTCGTGGCTATTTGTAGAATGAATATGAGTACATTCTTGCAAATGCATGATGTATGAACTGTATATATTTCTTTGATAAATTGTTTTTAAATATTTCCTCCTTTTTATTAATTGAAGAGGAGCCTCATGTATCAATGCCATTTTTTCCTGTTTTTCACATAAATTATTTTCTTGCAATGTTCGTTTGTATTATTATTGCCGATATTAAGGCAAAGGCTTTTTTTGCCTTGTAAACAAGATTTTGCTTACAGCTAAATGAAAAGAAGTGAAGTTAATCACATTGAAATAATAGGTTTAAAAAGGTAATTCAGTGGTATTGGAATGAAGTTTAATCTTCGGCAATAGAAGCCGTGCTGAGAGAAATGGCAGGAAAGCTTGTTCTGTAATTAAATGGTATTTATCACTGGCAGGTCAGCTCCGCTGGGTGAGAGTCTCCAGGACTCCACAGGGAAGGAGACAACAACATAGGCAGACACAAAGGGCTCAGGGCCGAGCCTGGGGATGGCAGGGGAGGCCGGGAGGAGGAACTGGGTGAGTAGCACCGCCCGGGAGCAGGGCTGGACATCTAGGCCCACAGCCATGAGTTGCAAAAAATGCAAGGGTGTGCTCCGTGTTTCTCCAGAAGGGACCTAACTCACAGCTTCCCTGATCAGCATTAACCCCATGAGCTTGGAACTTAGACCTGGGATCAACATACTTTCTTCATCTATAAATGGGAATTTATTAATCTGTGTAAATGAGAGTAATGATGCCATAACTTTCTGGAGGGGGTCATAATAGTAGCCTGGATGTCTGGTGCCAGGTACTGTGCTTGGCAGTAATCAGTACTAATTAGGAGCATTTTGATGAGCACAGACCTCAGGAAACACTAGTTGGGGTAGAGACTCTCCAGTCTGAGTTGCTCAGATGGTTCCCAGGAAGCCTTCTGTAAATGTGGTCAGGGCCATCGAGGAAGCACTGAACCTGGTATCAGAGGAGGGTATCTAGACCACGGGGAAGGCTGAGGGGTGATTTCAAGGTTGTTCTCAAATAGCTCTTGGCAAACATGGCAAGCCCAGGAACAAAGCAAGTCGCTAGGTTGGCCCTCATCCCAGATTTCTCTTTCTACACCTCTGATTTCCTCCTGAGGCTAGAGGATCATGGCCCAGACAGCCTGACTAGGCTGAGGCCAGGTGGTCCAGGCCTTCACCTGAGTTCAGATCCTGCAGTTGTGCCTTGCATCCACATGATAGAGGACAAGACTTCAGACATTTCTCTGAAATGAGAAAGTGACAGTGGCTGGTGGTAATGAGGATGAAGCTAGGGATTCTGGGAGAACCCTCAATCTGACCCTACAGCTTCTCATCCTATTGCTTCTTTCAGTTGCTGGCTCTCTCCCTGGGGTCTTTTAGTCTTTTTAAAAAATATTTATTTATTATGCATATAAGAGCTTGGGTGCAAGCCAGAGGCGCAGGGGTTGGGGGGGTGAGAGGATTCACCAGAGACAGAATGGGAGGCAGAAAAGGCAGATTGACTGAAATACACTGCTGAGGGCAGCCCCAGCAAGACAGAATTCTGCTGCATCATGTGGGTCTAACTCGTGCTGCAGTAGATGTGGATTGCTTCATAGTGCTGAGACTTAACCCCTTGCGCCACCAGGGAGGCCCCTCTTTTAGTCTTTTAACTCAAATTTGGCTCATCACATCAAGATTCTCACACCACTGTTCTGCAGAGTGACAAAAAAGATCTGGGGAGGGTGGTCGGATTTAGGGAAGGATCCCCCCATTTGTAATGGCCTGTCTGTCCAGCAGGACATCCCTGGAGCCCGCCTCACCACTCCCATCTCAGTAGGACCTTCTCGGAGTCTGTAGAAGCCTGGGGCTCCCGTGCTGTTAGGAGATGCCCTAACATCAATGTAGTCCTCCACTGGCCCACGTGCCAATACATACAAGACCTCCTTCAATGTTGGGGCAGCTGCCCCTGGCACTGCTCCAGTCTTCATCTACAAGAAACTGGAATCTGGGCCCATTATTAGCTCTCTCATCTTTATTAGTGTTCCGGAGCAAAGTGTCTGCAGCTAAAGTTATTGAATTTTCACTAAAACCTAAATACATGCATGACCCTTCTGTAGTTTCATGCTCAAAAAGGTACAGACTTCCAACTGCCATCTCCTGCCTCTACCATATCTTTCCTCATTACAGGCTGTGGTCCAAAACCAATAAGAATTAAATAAATACCCCACTGAGAGCTGCACTTTGGAGAATTGTCTCATTATGGTACGGATATGGGCTATTTCCAACCAGCACCAACATCTTGTATTTTATTTTCTATTACAAAAAGAAATTAAAATCTGAATAGTATCCAGGAAGGAAGTGTTTGCACGGGTGAATGTTTGATTTCATTTTTCTCCCAGCACGCCTTCTTCTTTCATCCCATAACAGCTCTTCTCAGTTAATCTGTCTTGAAAACCCGCAGGTAAAGATGTTTATTGATACAAGCCCAATGTGCAACTCGGCTTACAGAGACTATGGAAAGTGCATAAATAGTAAAATTTGCTTGATATCTACTTATTAATGCCATTCCACTCTGACCATTTCAACAGAAAGGGGTTTTGCCAGCTGAGAGATACTTCTGACATTCTGGATTTATACAGCACAACTCCCATTCCAGATGATTGACATGGGAGGTCCCAAATGATTGCATTTGTTAGGCAGATCACCAAATTCAACATCAATTACTTTGCCTTTTAGGAGTATTTAAAAAATAAATAAAATAAACAACAAAAAGAAATGTTTCTTGAAAAGATCATTGAAAATACAAAGAAATAGTTCAACCCTCTATTCCATACAAACATAACAAATTAATATTATAATTTCACAAAAGCCACTTTGACCATGTTTTACATGGTCATATCCTGTCCCTGAAACCACAATCTGACTTCCCAGCAGCCAGTAATTTTGAATCCCAAATGTATGAATGCCAGAAGACCCACCCAGAAGCCACTGCTGATAGACAGAAAAGCAGGGCAGAGAACTTACATTTCCTTTATGCAGATCATGGAGAAACAGAGCAGGGGGAGCCGTGCACTCTACGAGGCCTTTATTGTCCACCCGTGGAACTGCAATAGGAAATCAATGGTAAGTCCAGACTAGGGTGCTGAATTCTTCCAAGTAATCGTTTTTTCTCCCTCCAGTTTCCAGCCCCTCCTCTGTTAAAGACTAAACATTGTCTTGCTCATTTAAGGCATAATTGAGACTCCACTTTTATTTCATCATCCTTCCCCTTTCATTGATCATTGCTAATTTTCTGGCTCAGTGCCATCCGAATTATAGGTTTACCTAAGCCCAGCAGAGGTGCAGCTGGTATCCTGGGGATATAAGTGAGTTTGTGCTTTCACTTATGAACTGACAGCAACTGTAAGGAGTTGGCCAGGGTCTCAGGGATGCCTTCCAACCTCAGCCCTTCTACCTTTCTGCCAATCCTCGTAGATTTAAGAAAATATCTGCCCCACCCCCTGAATCTACCTGGCATCTCTGAGAACATGATCTAAGCCTCCTTTCCATGCAGATAAAAACATCAGCCCAATAAAAGAAATGATCCCTTCCCCCATAAGTGCAAAAAGAATGGGTGGCCAAATCCAGCTGTGCTCCAAATAGCCAGATGTGAAAAGCAGCACATCTGTCTGCAGTTTCTCTGTTCAAACTGAATCACTGATTTTTCACTGATGCCTGAGAATGTGTGCCAAGGAGATTTAGAACCACCCAGTCCTGTTTCCTCTCCTTCAGGCTCACCAAGCTAGGAACATGGAACATTTATAAGGTGTATGTGGTGTGGCAAAGCCTGGAAGTTATGCAAGAGTAAGCCGAGGAAGAGGAAGGTAGCCCAACAGAAGGGACCAGAGGAAAACAGTATCCCAATACGATATCCTGCCACCCCAGAGGACAAAAAACATAACTGAGAAATGTGATAGAACTGTCAATATCATATGAAATCAGCTTCATAGATTGTGAATCACAAGTCACACTTCTATTTGTTCTGTAACAGGGTAGAAATTGCAACATTTTCATCAAGATGTGAAACTGAGGCATGCCACCCCACTAAGAGACCCATCAATGAGACACCCAAGTTCTCCACACACACCCACCCTCCATTTGTTTCACCATATATTGGTTACAATGGAAGCTCACAACAAAGTTTAATAATCCAAATCTAGCAAAGTATTGGAAGATTTGGAAGCAACAGTGCTCTGGAGCCCAGCTGTACTAGCTCGCAAGAGCCACATGTTAAATTGTCAGGGAATTTGCAAGTTGACTAACATGTTGGTAACGGGAAAGCAGTCATTTCAGGAATATTTACACAGAGGAAGAGGCAAATGCTGTAAGTCAGGTCTTCTTCATCCCCTCTTCCTCTTTTTCTTCTTCATCTTCTTCTTGCAGGTTGTCAATCACTCACTAACATCATTGGTTAGAGGACACTTCTTAAGAGATCACTTACTACGTTTTGGCAGCTCAAGCAAGTTCCCTTTCAATACCCCCAAATATTTAAGTCACTGATTTTCTAATTGGCAACAAGTACTTCGCATTCTCAGAAGAACCAACAGATAGATGGGGGAAGGGAACAAGAAGAAAAATGGATTTTTCCAATCCACACCTCTGATTCTTGTCTCGGCTTTGAACTGTGAGAATAGGTCTCCATTTCAGATTTCCTTTTGTCAAAGAATTCTGCTACTTGAAAGCTTAGCTTAATGCTGGGGCTGTGTCTATGGTTATCTGTCCTTCTCATCCTCCTGAGAGGGGTGATTTATGCAAAGCTATGGGAGAAGGACCCCGGGTCCTGGGCCCAGCTTGCTCTGGACTTACTGTGTGGCCTTGGGCAAGTGTATTTCTTCTCTGTGGTGAAGGGAGTGGACCAGATGGTCTGTGTCTAATTGCACTGCTGCCTCTGATATTCTGAAACCCAACACTGAAGCCTTGGTCCAAATGGACTCAAGGGAGCATGGAAAATTTATAAAATTGAAAGACATGAGCAGAGCATATGCCATCCAATTTGACAATAAAAAATGTGAAACTATAATCATTGATCCTAGACTCCTGCTAAGACTGAAGTTCCCCTAGCTTCTGGGTGATCTGGGACCTCTTGGATAAGGAGCTCCAGGAATCTATGTGGGTTCTGTAGGAACAACCCAGCCAGACCATGAGTTGGGGCATCTGAGTCACCTAGATCTGGATTCAAATCCCAGCTCCTCCAGCTACATACTAAGGGCAATGGGATATTTATTTCACCTTTCTACCCTTCTGTTTCCTCATCTGTAAAATGGGTTGTAATAATGCCCATTCTTTAACACTTTTGCAAAATTAAAAAAAATTAAATCATGTAAAGTGCTTAGCATCATGGCAGCCCAGACTAAGCACTTAATAAGCAGCAGGTATTATTATTTCCTCAGATGATGGGGTTAAAATGAGAAACAAGGTAATTAATCAGACTTGGAATGTGCAATCCCAGCTTTGACCTAATTTGAGTCCACACCCAAGCTGAGTTGGGTTTAGATTTCTAAGACTGATAACTGAGTAGAATGGACTTATAAGGCAAATTTTGGGGTAGATCAGCCAGGAGGTAGTTTTTACAAATCAATTTGAGTAAGAACCAGTTTAATCTCTGGGTTTGGAGTGAAAGGAGCAAACGCATACTCTAAAGAGGCCATAACAGGCTAGTTAGGTCTTATACCTGGGTCAGGATCTCCTGCCCTGGTCCTCTAGGGAGAGACTTCAGGAAGAGACTGTTGAAGCTGAACTCAAAGGAAACTTGCTGAGACCACATAGACAAGCATCCCTCCTGCAGAGCGCACGTAACAAAGTGTGACCCAAGAGAGGAAGACCAGACTTCTCGCTTCTATGCTAAACTCAATACTGCTTAGTCAGATGGTACAATTCTGGCATACTGCACACTGGATATGGCATTGTCTCTCCTGCCCTGAGTATCAGCAGCGATGGGAGTAGTAAAGTGCCTTCTCCTGGCTTATGGGCAGCAGGTGTCAGCAGAAAGGAGAAACAAGAGAGAAAGAAATCTGCAAACTCCATTACATGATGAGCCCTATTCCTAAGTATAGAGTTCTCTCCCCACCCCGAAGTTGGGAGGTCCATATTGATGAGGCCAGAGCCAGTAAAACATGAGTAGTTTTGTTACTGTGGTTCCAGGTTTAACCTCAACCTGGAGTAACCTTGATAAATTCTGTTCCACATCTGGTGCCTGCATCCCTTCGACAATTTCACAGTGCCCTTGTGGACAAGTGGGGAAATGTGAGCTGGTGCTAATGCCCCAGGTAGATCCACCACTGACCTAAAGAGGGGGCTGCTTGCATAATTAGAACCAGCTGGTGAAATTTAACAAACACTTGAGTGGGTTGACTCAGGTGATTCTCATAAGCAGCCAGGGCTAAGAACCAGCAGAGACCATAGGCCTCTGTCCCTGATTCTTTCTTGTCAGTATTAAGTCGGTGTATTTGATGACGCTCTCGAGGTGTGAGGTTCAAGTGTCATAAGAAATCACGAAGGGGCTGGCTAATGGTATCCCGGGGCAACTGGATCGCAACACTCGATTTCTTAAAGCACAGATAGACCTTGACTTACAACAGTTCAACTTACTGATTTTCAGATGTAGCAATGGTGCAAAAACAAAACGCCTACGGCAGAAACCATACCTCAGCTTTTGAGTTTTGATCCCTTCTGGGCTGACGATATGCAGTATGGTGCTGTCGGGTTGCAGGGCAGGGGCAGAGAGCCACAGTCCGTCAGCCGTGTGATCTTGGGGTAAGCGAGCAATACTCCACAGGGTACCAGGCTGCCGACAGACTTTCATATAGTGTTGTGTTTTTGCATCCCATCATGCATGCATACCAAACGCCCCTTGCTGTCTCCTGCTTCTGGTGAGAAGAGGAAGGCAATTACTCTCGAGATGAAACTCAAGGTAACTGCCCAATTGCAGGCTAATGGAGGTTCTCAGGGCGTGGCTAAGGCAGGATAGCTAAGCTGTGATGCTCAGTGAACCAGGTGTATGAAATGCATTTTGTACTACAATATTTTCAACTTATGATGGGTCTATCAGGATGTAACCCCATCCTAAGTTCCTAAGTTGGGGAGTATCCGTGATGGGATCCCCTTCACTGGGACTGTTTGAGTGGGCAGCTGTCCTTCCACAGTCCCTGTCTACAAATCTGTGTCACTTCTTACCTTTGCCATAATGTGTGTAGAAAAAGATTCAGAGAAGGCAAACAGCTCACCTGAAGTCACACAGATAGGTACCATCCTAAAAGCCCAGCCCACCAAGAAGCTCTAGGTCTTAACCCAGGTCCTCTGATGTGTAGATTATTTCTTCCTGCCTCCACAGACCCCCAACTGCCTCTTCTTGGTCAGAGGATGCTCGAGAAGGACATCTTCAGTGGATAAAAGGGCCATAAGACCTTGAAGGATGCTGCCAGCTCTGAATGCCTGTGCTACCCCAGAGACTGAGGCTGCCCAGTCACCCACCCTCCCCGTGCCCTGCTGAGGCACACCCACTTCCTGAGGCCTTCTCTCAGGAAGGAAACCCCAGTCATCATAAAAGGAAAATAAGGAAATAAAATCTTAATAGGATTTCATAGATGATATAAAATCTCTACAACTCTGGGTGACAGACACTAAAAAAGATCATTTAGAGAGAAAAAGCTTTCTAAGACTTCCTGTGGAATTGGTTGTCTCAAGAAGCTGGGATGGTGGTCGTATATAATGTCATCAGTTGCAGCTCTCAATAGGAGGCAGTGCCAGCAAGTCCTGGACTGGATGGGGAGAGAGATCCAGAGAGAATAACTTGGAAGTTCACCTAGGAATCTCACAACATCAGAAGATAACCCCCAAACACAGTCTTGTGTGCCTGACAACATCCTCCACATCCTTCAAGCCTCAGTTCCACCAGTGCCTCTCCTGGAATCCTTCCTTGAACCCCCAGCAGATGGAGATGCTCCCCATCTTTCCTAGTACCCTGGGGATTCTTCCCTTTAAAGCAGTGCTTTTCAAAATGTGTCCATGAGCCATCAGTATTAGAGTCAACTGTGGGTGTCTGGTTAGAAATCCAGCCCTAGACCTGCCATTCCAGAATCTCTAGGGTGCAGCCCAGACCAATGCAGCTCTAACAAGCCCCCCAGGTGGGTGACATTTCAACTGAGACCTGATAGCAGAAGGAGCCTGTCATATGAAGATATCTGAGGAGCAGATTCCAGACAGAGACAAGAACAAATGCAAATGTCCTGGGGTAGAAAGAGTTTGGGATGTTCTTGGAACAGTCAAGAAGGCAGCCCAGCTAGAGGAAAACGGGTGACAGGCTAGAGTTTCACCTTTGTCCTAAGTTTGATGAAAAGTCATTAAAAGTCTTTGCAGAAAATTCAACTATTGGTCCTAATTCTTCATTCCACTATAGCAAATTATAAGTCTGCAACTTTCCCATAGCTTCATGGAGATGGAGTTGACTTCCTTTCTCTTTGACTTTGGACTCAGCCACAGGACTTGTCTTTAGCCCCAGGATGGTGCTGGAGGTGTTGGGACTGGAAAGTCCTTGACTTCTTGATGATCTTGTCCTCTTGTGACCCTAGTGTTCCTCTTGAGGACATGCCTTGAACAGCCACTGGTCCAGAGAGGCTGAGAAACTGTAATACAGAGTCCCCCTGGACCCAACCTTCAATCTGCAGCCAAACTCAGCCTCGACCAGCCAAGTCTTGGCCAACCCTCAAACAACTGAGCAAGAAATAAACACTTTCTGTGGTGCAGCACTGAGTTTTAGGGTGAATTGTCATGCAGAATTAGTGTGGAAATAACTGTCTGATAAAGTCTTTAAGCAGGGGAGTGTTTTGATGTTATTTCTATTTTGTGAACATAGTTCTGGCAGCTATGAGAGAATGGGTTGTGAAAGACAGATGTGGAGACAGAAAAACAAAATAGAAGCCTCTTGCAGCTGCTGGCTAAGACTCCATGGTGGGTTAGGCAATGAAGATCGTGGTGGAGATGCAGAGAAATAAGTGGATGCTGGATGGAGCTGGGAGAGCAGAACCGGCAGGACAGGCTGATGGGCTGAACTTGGGGATGTGAGGTTAGCACTGCATTGCACATACCCAGTAACTGGTATGAAGTGGGGCAACCTTGAGCCACTGGATAATGAGGGAAATGAAGACAGCAAAGCCAGGTCTTTGGCAAATGACCAAGACAGGGAAGACCTAGAAGGAAGAAGACTGACATTGGTAGAGGAAGGAAGACAAGGGGACCATAGCTCTGCTTTGTCATGCTAAGTTTGAAATGTCTGTTAGACATCCAGATGGAGATGTCCAGAGGGAAGTTACTTATATGGGTTTGGAGTTCAGTGGATTATTCATAGCTGGAGTTGTAAATGCAGGAACCAACATTTGACCTTAGTGTGTCATGCCTTTGGAGAGGTTTCCTTTGCGTCCGCTTCACTGGCCACTGAGCTCCTATTTCTTCTTCAAGCCTCAACCCAAATTTCACCTCCAGGGATCATTAGTCATTCTCACCTCCTTGCTCCCAGAGCTCATCGTAAATAGTTCACATTACAAAATACTCCGCCTTCCCCACTAGCCACAGAAGCTTTGCAGTTCCAACCCTTAGCTTGGCATGTGGAAGACACTCAAATAATATTATCTTTCTCCCTTCCAGGCATGGGGTTGTCTACTTGAGAAGCAATAGACCATTTAAACTTCTCTGGAGCGCGGCAGGTACGATTTTCATTCCACCTTCAAGTCAATGAACCTGAGAGCTCACAGGGTAGGATCTGCCCAAAGTTTCTGCCACTGGAAGAGTCCCCACTCTCTGGTTCCTCTGCTGGGGTTCTTTCCACGTTGCCGCTGCCCCGTGCCTGCCTCTCTGTCCCCTCCCCAGCACCTGCCTCCTCCCACTCCCTCACAGCCCTCCTCCTCCCTGGCAGAGCGCCCACTCTGTCCGCGCCTCCACACAGGATGTGCTTCCTGAGGTTCCTGGTCCAGATGGCCCGCGGAAGCTGCTTCTCATAAATCACCAGGCCTCGCGGAGCTGTGCTCAGCCACTTTCTCCTCTCAATCTCCCCAGGCCCTGGTGCGTGGGCCCCCTTCTGCCCAGTCAGCATAACTGGCTCCCCCAGCCCGGGAGCATGTCTGTGGTCCCCTCCCTACCAAGCCAGGGCCACGGAGCAGTCCCAGGAGCTGATGAGGGGACACACGGAGCATCTCTGCTAGGGACTTGGAGGGGACTCCGTGGGATAGGCAGGACATGGGAGAGCAGGTGCTTGAAGCGGTGCCCCTGGAGAGCTGCAGATGCCAAGGGCACGCTCATTCACCTGCCAGTCTGGCTCCATTACCAAGCCCCCTTTGTTCCCTAGCAAGAAGACACCATGGCATGGGGCAAAGGCAAGCTTGGCACCAGAGATGGCTCCTGGATGTTTCAAATATAGACCAGCAGCCTCAGCGAAACTACTACATGACCATGGCCTTGGACAAGTCACTTCCCTTCCATGAATCTTCTTTTTCTTATTTTAAACAAGAAAGTAATGATACCCACCTGGCAGCACCCCTGGGATGTCTGTGCATTCTGCTTCAAAGAGGCAAGGAGTGAGTCCTCAGTACACGGCGGGAGTATAAATCTAAGATGCCTCAATATCACCCCACTCCAGCTCGGGCAGAAGAGGGGCTGCCAGGGACCTGGCCTGACTCTTCCTGCAAACCTCTTCCTTCCTTCCTATCCCATTACCACTGCACCCTTCACGCCCCAGGAGCATGAGTCAACTGATGTGCCCCTCCCCACCTCAAACCCTTCAGGGTCCCACAGTCGCCTTTGGCAAAAATCCTCCCATTTTCTAGTCTGTAACTTTAAAAGCTACAATGTAGGGTGGGCGTGACAGAGCTGGCTCGCTGCCCGCCGCAGATGCATGCTCCCTCCACAGCCTGGGGTCACTGTGCCGTGGTCACACAGCCAGACCATCCTCTCTAGTGCTTCTGACACGCAGCCGGAAACACTGACTTCTCCCCAGTGGAACACGGAGGGAAGTGACATGCACCTCCCCTCCAGGCAGAGGTGTTTAAGCAGCAGCTGCTCCTGTTGCACCTCCTCTCTCCCTGTCTAAGAGCTGGAAGGAAGGTCTCTAAAAGCCAAGGCGATGGTGACGCCACCACATGGGAGGTACTACCGCTCCTGGGTGACTCCATGTAACAGCCCCAGCTCTGCGAGTCTAGATATTTCATTCTGGACTTCACTTGCAGGGAAATGCCTTCAGCCAATAATATTTTGGATTGTCTCTATTAAAGCAACAGGCATTATTCTAACTACTGCAAAGGGATGAAAAGTCTCAAAATAGTATCCCACACTGAATAACGGTGATGTGATTGTAGTTACAGGGTAAGGATAGCTCATAGAAGCCATCAAGGCACATGCCACATCTGGCTGTTGAATGGGAGAGCCTTCTGAATGACATCTCATTGCAAATAGACTTAGTGCCCGGGCCATGCTGTCTTATATACTCTTGATATTCTACTAAATATGCCCCTTTGCATCTTGTCACATGACCCACCCCTCCACTGTTAGCTTCAGCCCCTGATTTCCATCTGAGCAGCCACCCTACTCCCTTCTCCCATCTGTCAGAGGAGGCACCTGACCTAAGGCTGGCCAATCACAGTGCCACAGCCACTGGTGGCAGCAATTAGCCCAAGAGTGGGTACATGA